CAGCTCCAGAACATGCTTCTGCAAGAATCAGAGACAATGTCCACACCTGCTGGACCTGCCGCCATTGGGCGATGGGCCAAGGGCACAGAAACACTTAGAACGCCGAGCAATGGTGAACTTGGGAAAGGATACATCTCTGTTGGGCTTAGAAAAAGGGCACCTCACTTGCAAGTAGACCATGGTCTGTCCATTGCATTCTTTTTCATAGAGTTCTAAGGAGAACAAAAGAAGTTAATGTATCTGGAAGCCTCTTTGACTTCAATTAACAAGGAGCCTAGGGATGATGACCTCACAGAGTATGATAAACCACTAACTTATGAGGCACAAAACTCTAGAAAAAGTCAGACAGATTCATTACCACTGAAAGCTTGTTGCCTGAAGGCAGAGTCTAGTAGATATAAAAATACAGTAAAAATAAAAGAACCCAACAAAACTTATCCATTACATATCACAAAGAAGATTTCAGATAGAATGCAGTGAAACAAAATACGCCATCCAAAAATACATTTGCAGGTTATAAATCAGAGTAACCACCAGATGTCACTAGAGCTCCAATAGTTTTGCTTTTGAGCCCTTTCTTGCTTTTTTCCTGACATATTACAGCTAGCCTGGTACTGAGTCACCCAGTCTAGTGTGTTCAGCTGAGATCAAGGTCCCACAGAGGGCAGTGTCCTTCCTAAACAGCTAGAAAGTGGCACAACTGTGGCTCACCCTAAGATTCTTGCTTCCCTCCCAGGTGTCTTTATACTCTACCACAGCTACACTGACCAAATTTCCTTAATATTCCATCATGCTATTGTGTGCAAATAGCAGCCAACTCCTGGAGGGAGAATTCAAGGACATGCACACCCTCTGACCCCAAGCTGTGCAGTAAGCTTCTAACTAAGCACTTAGAGAAGGAGGCAAGCCAAGGTTGCCAAAATAACCAAAAGAGTCCCCTGAGGAGATGCTGATGGGGAAACGTATGACTTAATTCAGCTTTTGAAAGAAAATCCATTAGAAGCAGACCACGGATGAAAGAGATTGCCAGCCCATTGGTGCCACAAGAGGCTGGAGACAGCCCTTGAAAGGAAGGAAAGGAGTGGACATCTGTTGCTTTTGCATGCTCAGTATTGACTCTCCCCTTCTTGGACCAGCATCTTACTTCTCCTTCAGGGCATCACCCTACCGCTCTTTCTCAACTATGTGGTTTAAGCAGGACTGACTCAACCTTAGTTTCAGGGCTGGGAAAATGAACAAGTCATGATCACGGTGATTAGTTCAGGGATGGTGCCTCAGGCCAGGGTCATAGTGAGATAGGTAGCTAGGCAGACATGAGCGGGAGATCACAGCTGGAGACCTTGCTGCATCAATGGAGTGTCTTACTGGCATCCAGACATGAGCAGTGAATCACAGCTGGAGACCTCGCTACATCAAAGAAGCGTCTTGATGGCATCCCACAAGATACAGACAGCAGCAGAGTCTGAGATCTTCAACCACGGCAATAAAAGTAACAGGTGCAAACACAGCACATGCAAAGCCTTCTGCTCTACACCTCTAGAGGACATTGACCTTTCTTTAGTTTACGTACAAACTCCATATGCATTAGCCTCCCTTCCTCTGGGGATGACTGCCATGACAGTTCCAGAGACTCCCCTAAAAGGTGGAGAACTCCCCCTCCCGACGTGTGGGTGGAGGAAAGACCATTATTGGTGGATAACCAGATAATGCAAATTCCCTCTAAACAGCCCAAATAAAAATAACATTAACCCAAGAATTGGGGCAGATGCATTCTCTGCCCACTCCCACTTGGAGTGTATCTGACCTTTCTTCTGATAAATCTTTGCTTTCCTGCTGCTGCTGTTGTGTCGGGGTCTGAATTCCTCTCTTACGCTGACCAAGAACCCGGGCCATCGGACTCTTCAGTGCAGTTGAAATAGCTTGCCACTCTAAAAAGTTTAGGCCAAAAAGTGGCTCAGTAAAGGCTCTCAAGTAGCTCACAGAATATCTAGGAGGACCAGAGTTAGGTTTAGGACCTCAAGATTGTTCCAGAGAAGCCAAATGGCTGCTGCCACTGGACTGGACACCACAGCGTGAACTGCTGATGCTGAGTACCAAACACCAGAGGCTCTGCAGCTGTTTCCCCCAAAGTCAGATGCCTTAGCCGGGACCGTCACCGGAAAATGGATTTTTGCATGGTGCAGCTTCCTCACGTTGCTTTCTCCCAAACTGAAGCCACATGTGCGTCTTCTTGTCAACGTCTATATCACCAGACTGAACCCTGGCTGCTAGGGAGACTGGGACAGAGAACGTCTGGCTTCGCCCTTGAATAGATAAGTATCACAATTCTCCCTAGATAGGAAAGGTATTTGAAAGCACTAAGTCACCCAGAACCACAACAAACGTCCACAGGAAATAAGCACGTGATCCATGCTGAGGCTCTGAGAGCCAATCCTGGACTCTGGCTGCCATCGATATGAAAGTGGAATTCTCATTCCTGTTCCTCTGAGGTTATTTCTATGGTTAGAATATAAGCTTGGATCTTCTGCTGGCCATCTCTGCCATGACCTGAGAAACTGCCTGAGAATTAGGTCATCACAGGAGAAAAAGAGTCGAGATGGAGAAATTATTTAAGTATTAGATGCAGCTGTTCTGGAATCCAGAAACCCATGGACTTTTCAAAGTCATGAACCAAGAAACTCGCTTTCCTTTCTTACACTGCCATTTGTTGGCTTTCTGTTACTTGCAACCAAGAGTCCTGACTACAGCAAGGGTCTTGCAGAGTTAATGTGCCCCTGGGCTGGCTCTGTAGTTCTCCTCCACTGTGATTGAGATGGCAGAGGCCACGCCCAGCTCTAAGTGGCAGGGGGACTCCCTACTTAATGCCTCTCATAATGCTCCACCACTTAGAGGGTAAAATCTAAGATCTGTAGCCTGGTGGCCAGGCCAGGCCCTTGGGGATCCTCCCACCCTAGCTCAGAGTCTGCCACCTCAACAACCCAACACCACCAACCTGCTCTCAGTGTCTGCACATCTCATGCTGTTTCATGCCTTCCCCACCTTACTCATGCTGTTCCTGGGCCTCGAATGCCTTTACACCACTCATCCCCTCACCCTCTCACCTCCTCACATACCTGTATTATTGTTGTTTATAAAACTTTATTTCATAAACATTTTTTATAAACTCTTATGTTTTAAAATACTTTAGTAGTTTAAACTATTATGTTTTATAAACTTTTATAAAACAAAGTTTGGACACTACCTCCTCCAAGAAGCCTTCCATGATGACCTAGGTATAGGGAATGACAACTAACTTACAGAGAGAACAAAGTAGCCCTCAGAG